GGTTCAAATATTGTGTTTATATATGCATGTAAAGGAAGGAATAGATGCTTCATTTATCAATCTGACATATTTTTATTACTTAAATATTATTTAGTGAATACTCATATTTGCCAGAGAATACATTTTTTCGCTAATAAGATTCCTTGAATACTCAGGATGGCAGATGAAAATAAATCTACTGTTTAATAAAATAAATGGAGTGTCTACTCAAATATGAGTATCCACTAAAAATAATGATTAGTAATTATATATATATATTAGTGCATGTGTGAAAATACAAAAATAATGTTCTTTAAAAGAGGTGGGTGTATTCAGTAGAGATTTCTATTTCATGTCTGGCAAATGAATTCTATGTTATGCAGACAGTATCATCTAGAATATGTTTTAATTTTTCTTTTCCCCAAACGACATAAGGCTAGTTATTTATATTCACTATTTCTGTTGAAACATAGTGAACTGTGAATAACAAAACAGGCCTCAGAATACAGTATATATATATATATATATATCAAGAAAAATAAATATACAAGAAAAAGGGAAATATTTTAAAATGTTGATGTTTGGGGGCAATAGTCTGTTAAATTAGTTTGATTAAAAGAAAAATTTTTTTTTAAAATTAATGAGAATTAAAATGAATATCCAAAAGAGACAAAAAAAAAAAAATGGACAACCATTTTTTTTTTTTTACCAACTTCTTGACCCTATTATGGAAAAGTTTTCATAATGCAAAGAGAATTGTTGCAACTGGGTTGTTAAACTGAAAACAATTTGATACTTTTGTTTTCTAAAACTGTTACTGTTTGATTTCAACATTCATTTTTTCAAAGACACAACATAAATTTCATCAAATTTTAAAATATTCAGTGCATATTATTTATTTTTCTCAAACTTATGTGTGTTTATATGTATCTAAATGAAAAGAAAAGAAAAAGACTATGGCGCCTTCCTTAATAAATTTAATATCAACATTAAGTCCAGAATTCAAGAGGATTACAAATATAAATAAACAGACGTATGGTCAGATTATTCAACCAAATATGCTTGAAGATATACTGCCTCTTTAGTAAAGGTAACAATCCCTTTATATTTTAAAGTTATTTTTAAACCCCTTTTCATTCCTCTCTTAATTTTAAATTAATATTTAATTCTTCATATAAACTCAAATTAATGTCATAAGGTTAATATTTAGGTTTAATTTTACAAACCTTCTTCCCATTAAGACAAATCCCTCCACCCCCTCTTGTCTCATGCCTTTCATCTGACTGAAACATTGAAATGGATAAATATACTGTATTAGTTTTTCGACTTTTTTTTTTTTTTTATTATTAGCTTTCACAGTTAAATTTCTATTTCTGGCACAAACTCAGTCCACACCGGGATTGATAAGACAGATGACTGATATCCTCATCTGCCAAAATAGTCTACTCTGCATATGAAGTGATTTGGGATTTTATTGTTTATTAATTTTATATATATACACACACACACACACAGCTTATATTTACATACATTCTATCCTGGATACTGAGAACTTTTATCCTATAAATATAGTATACCTTAAAATGAACACACATTATGATAAAAGCCAGCTACTCATTTCTGAGCACTCCTATCTGTCAGAGTGCTAGCATATCCCTATTACAGGTGCCTGTTCAAGCCATAGAGTCTACCTGTGGCTTATACTGCAACTATGCACAGTTTCTTGTGGAGAGAGTGCATAATCTGGCATGATCAATTTTTTTTTTGTTTTTAACAAGGTCAACACACTCAAAACCTCAGTCATGATTACTTCGTGCTATCACAATCAATTGATGCCTTCTGAACAGTTCTGTCTATCCAATTTTACTCACAAGGCTTAGGTTACGAAACATTTTCCAAGGGTGTTGTATGCTGTGATCGCCTCCTCAGGCTTACATAATCAAGAATTCCCCCTCCGTGACTATTTGGTCATGGTAAAATTTCAACCTAGGTTTCATGGTCAGAAAGATAACATTCTAACCACTTGGGTATGCACACACATGCTTTCTAGCTGACTTTGATCTTCCAAAATTTAAATGCAATGTCAATCATTATCTACAATCTTCCTGATTATTCTTCCATTGCTCTAACTCCTTAGTAATGTTTCTGCTTTCTAATTCTTTCACCCCCCTCCCCAACAACCACTTGTGTCTTAGTGGGTTTACTGCTTTGCTTGAGGTAAATCCAATTAAAAAAAAAAATTAGATAAGAAAAGGAAATAATGGCCAAGTGAAGACATTTATAAATATTTACTTTATCATTTAAGCATTAAAATTTAATTATTTATGTAAAAAATGAAATACAATTTTCCTAACTCAAGAAAACACTAGAACGTTAAAAAATTAAAAACAACAGCCTGTCTAGAAGGCCAAATGAAAACAATTGAAAGAAAAGAAGAAAAATAAGAGAGAAAAGATTAAGGAGAAAAAGTAAAGCGGAAAAATTAAATAAACAATGAAAATGACAAATAATCACGACATTCTACATGTATGCACATCCACACAGACGGGTGTGCACATACAATATGAAAAAAAACTTACACTAATGAAAAGTGCATATAAAAAGAACAAGAAGTATAAGCAGTCAATTGCTGATATCCGCTGACAAGTGGACGAACGTGCCCATCTTTGAAACTCTGGAGTTGAGATGCTGAAAGTAACCTCAACTAAGTGACAAACCTTGTAGTTGTGTGTGTGTGTGTGTGTGTGTGTGTATATATATATATATATATATATATATATATATATATATATATATATATAGAGAGAGAGAGAGAGAGAGACATACACACACACTCCCAAAAAACTAAAAGATAACATACACTTAACACACGCACTTTCCAGTAACCGATAAAACTGCCAAAATGACTAAGAGGGAATTCGGAAACTCGGGAATCTCCCAGCCTCTATTTAAAAAAAAACTTAAAAGAGGACGCTTAACCAATACAAGGACTAACCAAAATTAACAATAAAATAACAAATGAAAGCTACAGATAAAGTTCACTTTCTTCAGAGACAGTCATTCACTCCTGTCGTTCACTGCTAACTCACAAGCAGGGATTTTTTTTTTGTCCTGATGATGGCCATGCTGGCTGAAACTAGTTGGTAATTGAAATAATAAAACAAAAAATATTAATATACAACACAGTGTGCCTGAAAATTTTAATTTTTTAATATTTTTTATTGTTCAAAATATTCTTTCAAGCAAAAAATATCCACTTTTAAGGTTATATAATTTGACCACACAGAGTTGTATATATCAGTAATAGTACAATTTACTATAATGTAAACAAAATAATACTTTGCCAGAGCAAAATATATATATATATATATATATATATATATATATCTTTGGAAAAATCTTTTCTCTTTACATCATATTAAATTATAATACTTTTTTTGCTGTAAATCTTAAATTTACAAAAAAAAATAGTTTGATATAAAATAAAAAGTGAGCCAAGTTGCGGGGGTAGGAAGCCACCAGTAAAACAATATATCTATCCAGACAGGAGATAATATCAAGTGGGACATGGGAAATCAAAAAATAGGGACAGTTTTGAGTTTGAGAAACTTAAACCAAATTGTAATAAAGAGGAAGTGGATGCAAAAAAATAAAATAAAATAAAAATAAATTTAAAAAGTACTCATAAAATGGGAATAAAATTAATCTTCTAAGCAATTTCAATTAATAATTGATTGTTTACAGAATATAAAAGTTACAAATATTAAGAAGACCAAGAAAGAAAATAAAAAAATAAAAAGGTTTATGTAATAATAGAAATGGAAATATTCAAATACATACAAATATAAACACAGATATATGAGGATCACTCCAAAAGTAATGCCTCTTCTTTCACCAATGCCATTTCCACATAATATGAAATGCTGTAATTGCTAATACAACAATAGAGGTTGAACCTTCTCAACAACCCAGGTTTTTTGGGGTTTTTTTTTAAAGTTGCAGTAATGGCTTTTAATATAGAAGTGCATATGAAACAGAATTTTTTTGAGGTTTTTTAATATTAGCGTCTAGAGCCATTCAAGGTAGAGTGTCACAGTCAAAATGGCAATGCTGAATAATGTAACATGAATGAAAAAGGAAGTGACAAGAAATGAGGATAAGGATAAAATATGACAAGAAGAAGAAGACAAGACAATATGAAGAGGTCAATATTGACACAATCCTACAAGAGTCAATGTATCAATGGATTTCTTCATGTGGAAAAAATTAAATTGCATCTTTTAACATTCATCAATGCTTGTCAAACATTTATAGAGACCAAACAGTGGATATGAGCATAGTTTGGTATTGGAATAATTCTGGAATTATTGCTTTTCTATATATTTATATCTAACACATTCATCCAGCCCGTATACATATATTTGCAAACCTAAGCTTCCAGGGATTCTAGGCAGGCATATTAAGTAATATTCATCCATATACATTTAATATATCAAGTCAGAATAGAATAAATTTTTACAAAGTTAAACTTTCTTGGTTTATGCAAGCGTTTCACGAATTGTACAAGGTGTGGTGTTGAAAAGGTGATACACTTCCAAAAATCAGACCCCCAAAAACAATCAGATTTTTTTTTTTTTTAAAGAGCTTTTCGGCAGCCACTTCTATAACACAAAGTAAAAATCAGTGTTAAATATTAACATTTTTTTCCATATATTTGTTATTTTCAAAATTTTTTTTTAATTATGAAAATCTTTCAAAAGTAAGAAAAATGGAAAAATAAGAGAAAAAACAATATTTCAATTAGAGAAAAAAATTCCTTCAAAAAGACAGTTAAAAGTTTAGAGTTAATCATTATCTTTCCTACATATCCTCATAAACTGCGCTTCCTACCTCCTCCTCTTACCCTCTACCTTGAGTGGTTCTCAAGACTTGTATTGGGTGAACATTAGTAGAAAAAAAAAACACACACACACACACACACACACAGATTAAATGATTAAGAATAAAAATAAAAAACTTACCTGGAGGTGGTATATGCACACATCCCAAAATATTTCCAATAATTGATTCCAAACTGAATTGTAAATTTTCAATGAATACAGTGTAGATTATGCCAAGGCAGTTCTGGAAAAGAAAAGGAAAGAGTTGAGACATTAGTAATTAAAAAATTCTATTATTTCTACAATCTAAACTAATTAAATATGATCAGAATAATTTTCCTCACAATGTTGATACATCCTTATAAGCCCTATTGTAAGCAGTAAATAACTGGCTTTCTACTATATTCATGCATAGCCTATTTAACCAACCTGCAAACTAGATCACCCCCACTTAATTTAACTCCATTTGTCAAGTCAACATTTTAAAGCAAGTCAATTTCATTGACTGTTTAAAATTCCATTTAAAAGACTTGATTTTCTTACAGTCATTTTAGTTACATATTTCTTTGAAAATTTCATCTTATAAAGAACAAAAGTTTTGTAAAAGTCATGTGCATTGTTCATAATTTTGTTATAATTTGACTATGTCACTTATATTTTTCTTCCTATCAAAGGTTCAAAGAATGTATTCAAATCTTTTACATTTTAAAATAATCCCTGCATTGCTGCCTAAGAGAATTTTGCTAAATGCTTGATTTGTATTCTTTGTTCTCTCTTCCTTAAAAAACCTTCCTTGTTTTGGGAAAGATATATACATTAAGTTAATGTTATTGTTGAAATAGTCACTTGTAGGTAATTGAATGACAAAACTATGCAACACATTTTGTCCTTTAAAGGGACTTCATCAGACTAAAATAATATTCCTACTAATGGAATTTTAAATATGTAGAGACAGAGTGTGAAAATAAAATATGTTGGCTATAATTATACATCAAGATGAAATGCGAGATTTTAAATTTTAAATTACTGGCATCCAGTGTGCCTAGATGTACAGCTTAGTTGACTTCATTCAGCTTCCCAACACGTTTAGTGGTGTTTGTTTTTAGTGATATCTCACATTGTGATACGAGTAGATTTGTTTGAAGCAACGACAATAAAAAGCAAAAGCACTGGGAAGCTAAATGTAGTCGGTCAAGCTGTATGTTTAAATGCTGCAGAAGAAACCCAAAATATTTGTGATTTTTATCCAATAGAGTCTTTGAATGAAAGGGATTGTCAAAGATGGCTAAAAAAATTTAAAAAAAAAAAAAAATAAGGTTTAGAAAAGGGGACTACAGCATAAGACATTCACCACAAACAGGTTGTTTGGTTGAGTTTTACCATGATCTGCTCATGGTTTTCAAGATGAAAAAAAAAAATCTGCTCAAAAACTGAATCCAAACCATTTAACTGTTAACCATCTACAACATAATGTTCTTGGAAGATGGGTTTCCCATCATTTGACAGAAGCCACTCTTCTTGAGAACACATCTTACCATTTTTGGACAGATGAGCGGTGACTGGTGATAATAAAAAAAAAAATTAAAAAATTGAATATTTTACAAATGATGCAGGCAATGGATCAGCAAAGACAAAGAGTTGAAAGTGTAACTCCACTAGCTACCAAATATTATCTCTATCCAAGGAAAATCTCTTAAGTGTTTAGTATCATCTACTTAGAGTTGCTACCAGTCAAAGCAGACATCTATTATAAGCAATCAAATACATTTAAAAACACTGCTTTGAAGGGAAAACAAAACCCAATTCAATCCATTCCAAAGATGTGACATCCAGTCATAATTCATATCACCATACAACAAAGATCCACATCCTCATACTCCAAAATTGGCTTTATCTGATTAGTACCAACTCTTGATGCAGAAACTACACTTTTTCTCCAAAAATAAAAGATTTTTACAAATTGGTATCCAAAAGCAAAGGAAGTTCACTGATAATAATGGAGCCTATATCTATCTATATAAATAAAGTACAGTGTACGCATGTCTGACCATCCATTTTTTAATCTCGGTGAATCATAAACAACCTGAAGTAAAAGGTAGTAACTATTGTATTAGGTTGGTGCAAAAATAATGACGTAATTATGTCGTTTTTTGACGTTAGAAAATACGTCCAAAAATGACATTATTACGTCATTATTTTTGCACCAACCTAATAGTTACACATGATTAACAATTAAATAATTAACTCATTTAAAGTTAAATTTAAATATTGAACAGAGTAAAAGCTTTACAAAATAATTCTTTATTAAAGGTTTAATTTTAATTTTGCTTTTTGTCACAATTGCAATTGATATCATCTAATTCTAATTAAATTGTAACTTAAACTTTAGCAGGGTAAACTATGTTGTTCATATGTTTTTTGTTTTGTTTTTCTCTTTTTCTAGCATGCATACTATGATGTATTCAAAATATTACATAGTTTGGCTTCCCTAATGTCTTTTAAGAGTGACTTTATGTGAAGGAATCATAAAGAATGATGGTTTTAAAAGAAAATAAGAAAATAAATGTAAACAAACTAAGGAGATTGGTTGCATATATAAAGAAAAATTATGCCAAATTAAGGTGTTGAATAAAGATAAAATAATTTACTATTTCTAAATTCTTATAACTTTTATGTACATAAGACGCTGAACGCAAAAGGCTAAAAGCTCGAAAGCTGGAACTAGCCTAAAGTCTGCCCAAAGGGTGGCTTCTAGGCTAATTAATAAATAAATTCTAATTAAACTAAAAATTTATTAATTCTTCATATTTTTCTGCTCTTAAATTCAGACATCTTTTACAGGATGAGCTCTATTTTTCTGGTTAAAATAGTTAATATCTATTTAGTATAAATCCAAAGTAATGGTGAATAGCATAAGCAACCCCAGTGCCAGTGTCACCATGGACAGTGAACCATTAGAGGAAGTGTCCAGCTTCAAATACTTAGAAGAAACCCTGTCAAAAGATGGCACTTGCAATGCAGAAATCCGCACATAGATCACTACAGCCATAGTAGCAATGGGCAACTGGAAAGGACATGAAAGAGCAACATCAGCTTCCAGACCAAGTTCAAGCTCTATAAATCACTAGTCGTATCCATCCTCCTCTATGGGTGTGAGACTTGGTCACCCTTGGCTGAGACAGGAAAAAGGACCCAGCACAAAACCTACAACTATGCAAAAAATTTCTTGGGCCGACAGGAATCTCTCCTCGCCACTATTAAATGTCAGAAGATGTCATGGTTTGGTCACATCACATGACTTAACAGCTTCTACAAGACCATCATGCAAGGTGTACACAAGTGGAGAGGGCAACACAAGGTCTGGTCAGACAACAACAAAGAGTGGAGTGATATGACAATGCTGGAACTCCTGAGAGCCACTGCCAAAAGATCATCTTTTCTGTTTCTTCTCTACAATTGAAGCCATCAGGGGACAGATCATGATGATGATTTAGTATCTTATTTTAGAGTTAAAATACCTTATATTTTTATTTTTTATATTGCATAAATTTCTATTAAGACCGAGAACGTAATTAAACACCAGTTCGAATAAGCCTAATTAAACACCAGTTCGAATAAGCCTAATTAAACACTAGTTCGAATAAGCCTAATTAAACACCAGTTCGAATAAGCCTAATTAAACACTAGTTCGAATAAGCCTAACATTAGTTCGAACAATCCATTCCATCATGTTTCAGATTCCTCTGGAATACAGCATCTTTGTTCAGAAAGCCTATAGATTTTATCTACATTGAAATGTTTAACAAAACAGGTAGACTTTAGAAATCAATCAACAATAACAAATTGATTTCTGAAACTCACCAACCTTGCTCATAAAACATTGATATTTTGATGCATAGAAATTTCTAACTGTATTTATTCCCCAAAGGGTGATGAAAGGATTTTAGTTGAACATATTTATCTTGGTACATCTACATAGCGTGATGAAAACAAAGGTTTGTCACCAAAATGTTTATTGTTATTAACAGAAATGATCAAAGTGGTTTTTATTATTTTATTAATTTTTTTTTAATCCTCTTTAGTATATTCAAAATTTTGGTGAAAAATCTTATTTTTCTTGCATCAATGGTGGTCCAAACATTACTATAGGAAATTTAGCATCTTTTTTGCAGTAAAAAAGATCGTTTTTTTAAATTCTTCCAAAAATCAAATAATTGTCAAATTTTAATGAGATTTTTAGGACTTATTCACAAATGAAATTATCTTTTAAATACTTTTTTAGTAAATCGTGGTGTGTGTGTGTGTATATATATATATATATATATATATATATATATATATTCAACTGCTACTCCCATTTACTTAATTTTATGAAATGTTGGGAAAATAAATTTTGATCAGAATATTTTTTATATTAGTTAAAAGGACTCATTTCAGAATGTAAATCATCAATTTTTTTTTTTTTTTCAAACAGTTATTCATTTACCAAAAATCTGTTCCAAATCATAAAATAAAAAATGCAATAAAACTATAACATGTAATTAGAAAAGCTTTTAATTGGTTTTATAAATACGATATATTAAGGACACTATTGTGTTAAGAAAAAATGTTTTTGATGAATGATGAATTTTTAAAAGAATTGTTTTTTGTTTATTTTAAATTTTAATTATAATAATTTATAAAGTTTAAATCTTTTAAAATTCGGTATTAATTTCAGCCTTTTAGATTATAGTATTAAGTTTAAGCTATATTTACTAATAATAAATGGAAAAGATTAATACAAATCACACACCAAGATTTTTATTTGAATTTTTTTATTAGTGTATAAATGTGCCAATAATTGTAAGTACAGTCAATCACACGACATTATCAGAAAGTAAGAGTGGTAACTATATTAAATTTAAAGCCTAAATCTCTAAAATTCAATAAAACATTAGATTACAGAGAATATTTCTCTACATTACAGAGAATATTTTTACTAGATTACTAAGTACTTAAAAATTATATAAAAATCTGCTCCTGTCATTTTTATTAAATTATGTTCTACAGATAAAGTCTTTGTCAAATAACAATCTGTCATCAGCTCATCAAACATGTAAACATGGCTACTATCACTTAAAAACACAATTACTGTTTGGTTAAAAAATTAATTTCTGTGATATTTTAAACTTAAAATAAATAATATTTGTTTCAAATCAGATTAATTATACTTTAAATAATCTAATATTCCTCAAGCAAAGTTTC